TAAATCTACCACATATGTTGTTTCCGGCCTTTTTGTAGGCCACGCGGGGCACACTGCGGCAGCACTCCGTGAACTGGCAGGGCGCCAGGGGGGGGTCCGGAGAGCCTAGAGATCGGTCCGGTCAACAGTGTCGATGTCGACGAAAGGGATATTGATCCACCAGAGCTTTCATGGCATGCGGGGCGCGGCACAGGTACGGGAGGTGATGAGGAGGAGCGGGGTGCTCTACCAGGTTTCAAAGATTTTCAAAGGTTTCCAGGCTGGTTGTGGAGAGGGTTGTGATCCGAAGGAATTCTGAATTTTACAAGTGGGATCTCTCAAGGCCTTGCTACTACCGTTGTCCATTGATGTTTTATGAGCGAAGGCGATCTGCAGTTTCTACCTTCAAGGGACTAGGTATTGTGCCCCAAAGCTATGAAAAACATCCCTAGCGCTCCAAGTACCTTCTTAGAAGGTCTTTGGGGTGGGTTTAGAGGGTCCAAAGGCATATGATTTATTAAACAAGAATCAGGCGGATAGCCCCTGACGTGCTTTTTCTCCCAGAACTCCTCCCATCGTTCGGTGTTCATCTCAGTTCCGAGGAACTGATGCCGACAGTGCCGACGTGTAGCCAGCACTGGCGGAGAGGCGGAGATGGTTCTGGCGAGAAGGCGGAGCAAGTCGGGTCTAAGCTGAGATGGTTTCGGGGGCTTCTCCAACACATCAAGTTGACACCTCCCGGAGTTTCCAAGTCTCCTATTTATCATCCGCTAACTAGATCTAACTAAATCTAACTATAGTAGTGGATTAAAAGAACCGTGTGAGATGACTGTTTGGTGAGTGAGGTCCAACCAGATCCTACAGGAAATCGCAGCAGAGCTCGCCCCATGCACCGCCCACCCGTTGGACGGCCGTCGCCGTGTTGCCGTGTTGCTCGGTTCAAAGCCAACCGAGTGAAGCAGGTGGAGGGGATGGAGTGAAGCAGGCTCCCCAAGGAGCGATCATTCGGTGGGTCATGTCGGAAGAAAGGAACAACCAAATTAGATGAATCATTACCAATGCTTGTCGTATCTCAGTTTTTTTCATTTGTGATCTCACATTCAAGATCCGTTTTTTGTTGGTCCAACCACAGCATTTGCCATTCGATTCTCTCCTTAAGTGCAAATTCTGCCCTGCACATGCTTGCACATCAGCCCCTGCACCACGCCTCCTCCCAATCGAGCGCGTTTGCTCGTTGCGAGACCAAAAAAGAATTGGCATTTCCTCGTTGCGCTTGGGCGGGCGATCGACGGGAAAAAGGCGATGGGCGATGACTGACTGAAGGGCTGGATGAGGTTGTACAAGCCTATTCTTGTTTTGTGAATCAGGTGATTTTTGTCCTATATGCATAGGTTAAATCCATTTAAATCCCCTTCTGAGGAATATGTTTATAAATAGTTTGCCCGGTTCCTTAAGCAAATCCAAGCTATAAATACCCACTCTTTGCACCGCTCCCACCGGAAACTGCTCGGTGGTGTTCCGATGTTCGACTTGAAAGCTAGCGAGCAGCATCTATGCAACAATCGCATGACTCTTCGGAAACAAATCCATATGACATAGTTTAAACATGTTTAAACCCTGGTGGACCCCCTGTCCTTCCCAAGTCAGACTGGCCGGGCCCTCGTTTGCTCGTGGCTCTGACGCAGACGCTTCGGAGCGATGTCGCGATGACGAGCCTAGATCCGGCGTCCGTGCCGTTTGAGGCGCCTCTCAATGGACCGTCACAGGAGATGGGTGCCCTTGTCACATCCATTCACTGGATAGGGCGAGCCAAACCACCCCGTCTCGTGACTCCTGGAGTCCTGGAGTGTTTTTTTTTGGGGGGGAGGGTTCCATGGGCAGTCTCGTGTGGAGTGACCACATTTGAACTTTCACCTGTGCAGCACCCATTCCAACAGAGAGAGATTGTGCAAAAGCGCACTGTGTGCTCGAAGTCATTTGAGAGGGATTGTTCACGTTGGGTCGGTTGTTCCATTTGGGGCACTTTGGTTACTTAGTTGGCAGTGTTTGTTGTATTGATGTATTGTAATGTTTGCCGTTTGTTTTGTTCACGTGGATCTCATGAACAGTTTGGTGGCGCTTTGCACCCACTCAATTCCAGTGCACTGGAGATGGAATGCCAACAGGTGCACCATTTGTGTTATAACTTGTTTAGCTCGCCGTTGACCAATCCCGCTTTATCAAAACCATTGCTGTATATAGATATATACATATATAAAAGCATCATTAAGCCTGCTATGTTGTAAAGAAACACATGCCTGAGGCCGTCCCAAATTCATTTGGAAAGGCCAGGAAGGCTGGGAGTTCCATGAGCAATTCATTCTGATCCATATGCGGGTGGGTAGGCTGCCATTGGCGCCCGTCGCGCGGGGTGTGACTTCATCGCTGCAACAAACGAGTAACGCGTGCTGAGCCTACTCCTGCCTTTTCAGGAGCGTCATATGCAGGTTCACGGGGTTCCTTTAAGGCTCATTTGGTACATGTTTAATTGGTTTGTCCAGTGATCATGACGGGCATGGCCAAGCTCGGATGTCAGCGGCTTTGTCATTAGTAGTACCTTCTAGTCCTCGAGCACAGCCTGCAAGAGCTTGGCTGAGCCAGTTTACACATATTGCTCTCGCAAAAGGCAGAGGCGACCCAGGCCCAGAATCGTGGACTAAAAGCCCGCAACGAATCCACAGTCCAACAATTCCTGACCACAAGCAGACACACGACAAATACCCCCAGACGAGGTAGCATATATGGTGCACCTGTTGGCATTCTATCTCCAGTGCACTTGTATATTGGTGGGTGCATCTAGCGGGGCGGACGGCATAAGTCATACTTGCGATAATGTTGTTTTCGCCGAGCGTTTCCACAGTCATTTTTGCCAGCAACATGTGCCTTTGTTGTTTTTGCGTATTCCCTTCCCCTGCTCGGGTGTTTCAGTTTCTTTGACAGAGCTTCTAACTGCATTGGGGAAAATGTGGGAAAATCATGGAACATCATTGAACATTTGCGGGTTTTGTTGGAAACCATGTGCCTTTTCGTCAGCTGCGTGGCTGCAGATGCATCTCCAAAGCAATTGCTTTTGAAGCCTTCTGTCCGAAAAAAAGGATTTTTCTACCTGCTTTCAATGGTGCGAATGATCCAAATTGATTTAATTTCTTGTGATTTTCTTAAGACCTATCGACTCAAAGCAGAAGAAATCATCCATTTGTTCGAGCCCGTGATCGCCTGGCCCCAGGTGCGCCAGAAGCAATCCTTCCGAGTCGCGGCCAAGGAGTTTGCCAAAGGCCCGGCCGTCCCGTGCCGCTCCGCTGTTTACAGTGTCGACGTGCCATAACTGCCATAACTGCGAGGTGGTTTGGCGAGGATTTCTTGGGGTCAAAGTGAATGAAACAACCTGGAGCCCTGATGTTTGAATTCAGCAGGATTCAGCTGGATGAGGTGTTTCACTTTGTTTGACCTGTGGGAAGGGGCATGTCTTTGTTGTGTCTTGCTCGTGCTGACGCTGTGAGTCGTCTGAATCGTTTGTGTCGTCCAGTGCCTGGACTTGAATTTTCAGGGTCAGCCGCTAGTTCTTGCTGGGCTCCAGTCCCAGCAAGCGCGGATGATCCCAGCATAGCAAGGTTTTGCACACTCCAACTCACCGACATGGAAGTGGACAACAGCCAGGTTTGTAGAGGAATGTCGCCTGAATTCTCGGCCCCATGCCATCCACTTCTGTGAGTTGGGGAGTCGATTTATCGACTCCTGGTGCTCACTTCCTGGAGCCCTACAAGACCAGCTGGCGACTTCCTCCGACCCCGCCCCGCCCAGCACCAGTGGTGCTCCACCTCACCGCGTCTGGCGACTTGGAACGACTGGGCAAGGCCTTTGCGTCGGGGGGCCTCGGGTTCTTTGGGATGCGGTTCTTGGGTGTTCTTTGTTTGGGGGGGCAGACCGTGGTGATTTTCTGTCCGTTGTGCCGAGGACATGCACATCACCGCAGCAAATTCCTCCATCCAGGGTGCAGTAACTGAACTGTGGCCGTTTCAAGGCTACCCTTTGGTGCAGAAGTCTCCTGGCAGACCTGGCCAAACCGCCTTGTGGGGGCTGAAAGTGTCACTTCCATGGCGAGTTAGCTTTCACAAAGCCATCAGATCTGGAGTTCCTGACATGTCTCTACATCCACACATTTCAGGTGGTCAGCTGACATGCTTGCGCATGTGGTCTTGGAACCTGTCAGGTGGATTCCCCATGCATAGTTGTTTGAAATGCCGACGGGTGGGGGATCACACCAAGTAAAATCGATGTTTTTTGATGTTTGCCCTTTTCAGTGTACCTACAATCCTCAAACAACTCGGATTTTTATGGTCAACCATGCAGTGATTTTGTTTGATGTGTTTGTTGATTTATTGACGTCACCGGGGTGCATGATACTTGTTACCCCTGCCGTGACTGTTTTCCTAATGTTGGCTCTTGATTAATCACCCCCCCTCCAACAGGAGGCCCTCTACTGGAATAATATGATAGAACACCAGTCAATTGATGAAAACACTAAACATTACTTAGCTACCTATGGAGCTACTTTGACAATATTAAAATGAAAGGAATCCAGATTGAAGACATTTGCATCCAAAGATCTTCAAAATCGTTAAGCCAGAGAGGGACAAATAAACAAACACAAATAACTTATAACACATTCGTCCCCCAAAATATCCCTCCCCCATCCCTCCCTCCAAAACAAAAACTATGGGGCCTTTATTAATCAGTGCAGGGAAATGTGCTGTCATTGGGGGGGGTTTAGGCGTTTATGAGTCAGAGGACCATTATCCCTGCTACGGTTGATCGAAGTGGTTCTTTTCTTAGCTTATATCATTATCATATCAGAAACCCACTTTCAGCCGTCACTAGTTTCAGATAGGCTCCTTCACAGGGGTTCTGCAAGCTGCTCACTTCCGTGACGGGCCGAGGGGGGGTCGTGTCCACTTTTCGGCCTAGGAACCATGAGCGGTTCAATGGCCCACGGCCGCCCGAGGAGCTGCTGCAGCTTGCAGAGTAGGTTGCATAAGAACACATGGACGAAGGAAACATGGATCCAACAGATCGACGCTCGGACTTTGGGCAACAGTGTGTTTCTGTTTTTCCCCATAGGTTCATGTGGCTGGCCCGTTTTGGCCAAGCGGCAGGTAAACCACGGGATACCTATCAAAAAGAAAAATTGATTCCTATCAATAAAATATAAAAACATTTGATTCCTATCTGAAAAAAAACACATTAGTTCTTATCAAAAAGAAAATTCTGTCCTGGTCCCTTGGTTCCCCGGTCCCTTGGTCCTCTGGTCCCTTGGTCCTTTGGTCCCTTGGTCCTCTGGTCCTTCGTCCTGGTCTTCGGTTCCTTGGGTCTGTACTTTCGAGGCAAGACGGCTTCAAGTTGATTTGGAAATCTGGTCATACATCCTGTGAAGCACTGTAGCAGACCTTTTATCACCAGACTAGCAGACCCTTTTTGTGAGCCACCCTGACGGTAAAATTTAGACGAAGAAGGTGCCATTCCAAGGTAGCAAACCTTTTGTCAGCCACCTGAGGGCAAAATTTAGAAGAGGAAGGAGCCATTCCAACGTTGCAGACCTTTTGTTAGCCTTGCGAGGTCAAAATTTAGAGGAAGAAGTTGCCATTCCCACGTAGCAGACCTTTTGTGAGCCACCCGGGGGTAAACTTAAGGTGCCACGCCAAGGCAGCAGACCTTTTGTGAGCAAAATTTAGAGGAGCAGTAGACCTTTTGTGAGCCATGTGAGAGCAAAACTTTAGAGGAGGTGCCATTCCAACATAGCAGACCTTTTGTGAGCCATCCACAGGTCTTGTGGTTGAGAGGTCCATCTACAGAAACCTAGAGGTCTGAAATTCAGAGAGATCACGGTTGAGATGCAGAGAGGTTTAGACCTACAAAGATCCAAAGGCCTGGAGATCCAGACGGATCTGCAGGTGTAGAGGTCTAGAAACCCACAGATCTAAAGATGGAGGTTTAGAGGTCTTGAGTCTTGAGATCCAGGCAAGTCTTGAAATCTAAGTTCTAGGGGTCTAGACTTGCAAAGGGTGTAGAAAGATGTTCAGATCCAGAGATATCAAGAGCTCCTTTCACAGGTCTTGAGATCCACAGAAATTTTGCGCACGCCACGCAATCTGCCCTTCGAGGTTCGCAATCGCTGCGCCTACCACGAAGTCTGCGCTTATAGACAGAGGTTCACCCAGCGCCGTGCCTGCCACGCAATCTACACTTCGAGGTTCACGAAGTGCTGCGCCTGCCATGAAATCTGCAGTTCCAGTGCACAAAGTGCTGCGCCTGCCACGAGCCTTGCAACTGAAGGTGCTCAAAGTGCTGCGCCTGCCACGAAATCTGCAGTTCCAGTGCGCAAAGCGCTGCTCCGTGCTTGCCACGAAATCTGCACTTCCAGTGCACAAAGTGCTGCGCCTGCCACGAAACCTGCTACTGAAGATGTTCAAAGTGCTGCGTGTGCCACGAAATCTGACTGCACACACAGATTCACATCGTGCAGCGCTGCCAAGGCGGTTCGCAGTGGCAGGCGCAGCTCTTTGTGAAAGCAAATTTTGTTTTTGAGACCAAGTAATTTTCTTTTTGATAGGATACATATTTTTTTAAATATATAGTTTTTTACTTTTGATAGCCCGGCCTGTAAACCACCACGTGAACTTTGAGCCAAAGTTGCAATCTTAGTGGGATAAACTGATACATGCTTTTGGCCTGTGAACTGCTGGGCCTACAAACAAGCCTGAGAGTTCTAGCTGCCCATTTGCGATTAGGAAACCAAGCACGTCAAATTGCATTGTACCAACAAAAACATGTCAAGCAACTTTTAGCTGGTACTGTTGAACAATCAGTTGAACTACTGAAACCTCTACTCTACTGAAGGTGACTTTGCAGTCCTCATCAGGCCGTCGTTCCTGACAAAGCCACTTGCATAGAGCGGAGCCGCCCCGCTCAAATAGATGGAACTGTTTTGGTTGCCTGAGGGTGCTTGGATGTGCTTGGTCCGTTTGGTGCCTTGGTCCGTTTGGTGCCCTGCCCCATCCTGCTCCTGCCCCTCCCACCCAGGAGGTGATCGTCCCGTTCTGGGAGAAGAGTGAAAAGGAGCGCCAAGCGCTGCGGTGTCCGGACGCCAAGGTTTGGGTGGTCAAGCGTTGACCACATCACCCAAGGGTGAAAGATTCTGCAATTGAGTAGGGTGCAACCGCCATAAGTTCACCAGTCACCAGTCATATAACCTCTAGCTTGAGTAGGGTTTGGGGGTCCGAACTGTGGGCTGACCCGGGGAAAAGGGGGGGGTGAATGTTTGGGGCACTAAAGGACTCACTCTCTTTGTCTCTCTTTGTTTTCTCTTTCTGTGTACACTTGTGTATACAGTATACAGTATACATCTATATTAATTCATGTAGTGTTCTTCAATTATTTGGTACGGTATGTTCCAACCGTGTTGTGAGTGTTGAACATGTCTCTTGATATTCGTCCATGCTTGAACTTACGACATCAAATGCGGGATGTTTCCACCAAGCCGCTGAACATGTTTCACTCCAACTGTCTTTGGATTCATTTCTTCAGCTCATCATGTCATCCCGAAGCCACTATAGTCTCCCTGTGGTTCAGGCCGACTTGTAGCACCGAACATTTGGACCGAAGAGGTTGATCGAGTTTTGATCTCAGCCATGTGTTGTTGCCCATATTTCGCTGATTGTTACAGTGCTTGTACTTGTCCCTAAGGATGCAGAACTTGCACTTGTTGACAGTTTCTTGGGGGTTCTCCACTTCTGTGCACATACACCTCCAGAGGGCCGTTCGGAAGGTTCTTTGAGTTCATGTTGGAGCATGGGTCATTGCCTGGCACGCATGTTCGAAGGGTTCTTTTCGCGTGTGGGTTCTCGTGTAGCCAAGTAGCATGTCTAATCTGTGCATGTTAGGGTAGATACGAGGATGCAGTGCATCCTGTAGGTGTTAAGTTAAGCCTGCCAAGCAACCCCTGTTCAGACACTTTGACTTTAAGCGCATCAACAGGAGCAACGAGTTTTGGGGTGCTGTTTGCCATACGCAAATGTCATTGCTACATGTGTGAGGAGGGCGGCGAAGGTTATCCACCTGTCCGTTCGGCAAACTGACTGAGTCAGGTCACAAGACACCTCACGGTTACGCCTTTATGGCGTGTGATTTAACAAACACAAAACGCCGCAGAGAGGTGTCAACCAAACGCCTTCCACAACGCCGGCTCAACACGCCGCAAAACGCCCCCGAAATCGACATGAAGGGCTTCTCGAACTGTTTCACAGTCAAGGGCCTGGCAGGGGTCCTCAGTGGTCTTGGAGTTGCACATCTGAAGGGATTCCTTTGACTTGAGCCACTGAAGATGATGAACACTACCCCTTAAGACTCCTTCCAGGTGCTCGCCACATCTCGCAACGACCGAGCTAGCAGGTGCCACCGCGCCTGCTCGACCGAGCTCCCAGTCTGAAGCCTCAGCAGAAGGGAGCTCAAAAGCTCCGTGTTGATCAGGTTGAGCTGGCGATCATGTTCAGAGGTCCAACCAACTGCCCCTTGGGATTTGCGGTGATTGATTGCGGGTGGATGCAAGTGTTTGTGTGGTTTTTGTAATTTGCTTTTGTAATCCTGGTGCGGGGCCCGGTTTGGCTGGTAGTGTGGCACCCATGGGGGGCAAAGGCACAACCCAAGGTTAGGAGGCAAGCTGATGGATCCTCACGTGTTTCTGTGGAGTGTTTGGGTGAAAGCTGTGCGTTCTTGAAAGGCCAGACTCTGGAGTATAGGCCCTATAGGCAAACTCACCTGGCGAAGACAATTCAATTTCCAAGAGCTAGGTTGGCAAAGCGAAGCCGAGCCCACTTTCAGGGTACCAATTTGGTCCACACGATGGGAGAAGGATGGAGCAGGTATTTCCCAAGAGGCTTCTTTGTAGCTGGTCTGGTATTCCGTTAGGACTCCACAATGAGCGCTCAGCCGGGTTCAGCGTGGCGAGTAGGATTGGGGGCTGGTGCCGGGAATGTTCATTTGGAGTCTTTTTGGAGCAGCTGGTGTGCTTGTACTTCCGTGCCCAGCTTCAGGTTCTAGGTTGCGTTTGAAGGCGCGAATTCAGCTTGCCATCCTGACTTCTTGGTTAGACTCCACCCGAGCTTCAACAAAAGTCCCCTCCTCTATCGAATCGCACCCAGCACTCAGAACACGCCCTTAATTAGTTCTTCAAGCCCGATGGTAAAACCTTTTGGTCACATGAATTTGGCGACACCTGAAGACCTCACATTCGGCACTGCCAAGGCTTTTCCTGCGGCTTAAATTGAAGCGGACTTGGAAGCAGACCCCAAAATTGGAAGCCCTAAAGGAAAGGTAAACAAAACATAAAACATCATAAAACAATCAGCCATAAGAACATTCCACAACAGAGGTCGCACACTTAACCCACCTCTTTGCATGGCCTTTCCGAGGATTTTCCGGACCATCAGCGCGTCTGGGCTCAGCAGGGATCAACGTGAGGGTAGCCCAGGGGACGTGCAGGGACTTCAAAAGAGTGACTATTTGGTAGGAGTGATTGACAATTGGAGAGGGATTCAATTAGGACGTCGAGAAATTGGAGGTTCTATTGGGTACTGGGATGAGTCAAAGTAGGATGCCATCATTGTCGCAGGAATCAGGCTAAAGAAAAATCATCTCCATTGCACCTACAAAGCTTGTCAATGCAACGACTGGGTACTGGGTACTCAGTGAGCAGCATACGCCCCGGTTTTTGGTGTCAAGACTTCGGAGTTCTGTTCGCACCTTTGTTCATCACATCTTAAGCCCGACAACGATGGCTTTTGGATCTTTCATTTGATGCTTGACGTCGACCTTGAGCTTAGCTCGCTCGTTGTGGCGCAGCCGCCGTGGGAACCAGCAGAGGTTCCTTTCGTGCCGAGAACTTCTATCGGCGATGGAGCCATCCAAACAGATCCAATCCCTTGGCATGAGGATGTAGGTCACAGCAATCCTGGGTAGGGGGCAAAACTCGAAGTATGATTGGTCAGCGTGTTTCAGCCGAAACGATGCTTGCGGGCTTATTTTGCGTTCACCCTCGACAGGCCCAATACGGTCACAGCTCTTCCTAGATGACGTCATCAAGTTATACAGCAAGAATTCTAACCAAACTGGGCCTAGACATGCATGCATAATCAAACAGAATTACATGTAGTCACTTGCTTGATCTTGCTTGGCATTGATGTGCAGATCAGAGTTGTTGAGCAAAGACCGCTCCCATCCTCATGTTGTTTGTTACTGCAACCGCTTTGTAGGGTTCTTTACCGCTTTTCGGTCACTTCCTGATTCCTAGTTCTATACTGTTCAAGACCCTCCAGTACTATCCCCCATTGATATGGCTGGAAAAGCGCAGTCATGGGCTCCTAGCGGCACCGGTCGTAGATGAGGATGGTTGGACCTGTTTGCGTATTTAGCTACCTTGTGCCAGAAACTACGCCGCAGATGTGACGGTAGTGTGAAGCTATTGTAAAAAGTGAACATCATCTTATGTGGTGCAGAGTTCTCTCCTGAACCAAGTTACGCACTCCAGGGCCTACCTCGTTGCTGTTTGCTTTCTTCTATTCTTGGACACTCGTACCCGGCGTATTCTTGTTTGATTACATTTCCCACATGTTCCTACAACCCAAGAATCATGCAGGGTTGCAATCCAAGAATCATGCAGGGTTGCTGTGCACATGTATCATGCTTTCAACGCAGCGGACACGCTGTTCTTGTTCGAAGGTCGAGCGCGGTTAGCCATGTCCTGTTCGACGCCCTTGCACGGTGCAACTTGGCTGTGAGGGCATTGGCGCTTGGCCAATGAACCTGCTAGATATTTTATGATATTTTAGTGTTTATATAGATTGAAAGCAGACGACAGACGACGGTGAGTTCAGCCCTTTGCACTTTCTAGCTCCTTTAAACAGTGCGTGTTCTTGTGTGTGAAGAGGATGTCCAATTCCTGACTTGAGGGATCTTGAGGGGCTTTATGTACCTATCTTGAGTCTAGCTCTGAGTCGTACAGAGCCCTCGCGTGCGTTCTCTTCGCTGGACGATGCTCCGAGGTGAGCTCCCAACGCAACGCGCTCTTCGCGGACTGGATCCATAGTACTCTCCAGGGGCCGTGCCTAGGCAGCAGTTTGGCAGCCGTGCGAGGCAGGTTCAGAAGGAAAAGCTGGAGCGCACTGGACAAAAATGCGGGTTCGGAGCACACCTTTTCAGGGGGATTCGGATGGCCAGACGCAAGGTGACAGAACACCTGTCATATTGCAGGCATGCCATGCTTTGCGCAAGCCACCAGATGTTATGCCAGAAGATTCATCAGAACAAACGTCGGATGAGGTACTTGCCAACAAATGTCAAAACCGATGTCAGAATACATGCCAGAACGCATAAAGCAGAACAAATGTACTGTAACATAATGTCCGAGCACATGCCAACACAAATGGCGGAACATATGCCAAATCGTCGTAAGTTTGAAGGCAGAACAGTCCAAAAGAATCTCACATGGAAGTGGAAAACACCCTGCTCATAATGGAAAGCAGTCTTCCAAGATCTTCCAAGGGACTATGCCATCCACTTCCATGTGATGTGTCCGTCAGAGTGTACCATTTTTAGCACGAGATCCTCATCCGAACTCATTCCAGACTCCGACATGTGGCCTCCAGCCGCCCGCAAACACCCTCTCCCGTTCGGTGATGTGTGTTGAACGGTACGAACGAACCGTACTGGACCTGATGCCAAATGTCAGAACATGGTGTCAATTGTCAATGCATGGTTCGATTTACCTTCTTCCAAATCGCCTCTTAATAGTGGCGAACTCTCTTTCTTTGAAGAATATTGAAGAGTCTTGTAATTATCCACAACTACCTGCATGTAGTTGTTTAAGATGTTTTGGGGAGCCCTGTTCATTCCTCATTTGTCCTAAAATATGTGAAAATTATATATTTGGCCTTATGTATTTGGTATATGTTCTCATAGAAGGATGGTGGCCCCTTTGCCCTAGACTTCATTCTATACATTTATATACATGTCTAATCCTCCGTGTTTCCTTACCCCACATGAACCTTGCAAAACCCACAGTTTCTCAAAGGAGCATTTGGAGAAAAGAAAAGGGGCCCAACTCCATACAAACCACTCGCCATGTAAATAAAGCAGACCAACAATAGCGCCGGAGTTTCGTTCTTGGGGCTCCAATTCTAACTGTTCGGTTCAGCAAGATTTCCGGGATCTGGGTCCAGTCACTGATGACTGGCGCGCTCCCAAGGTCAGCACGCCGGCTCTCGCAGAGTCAAAGTGCAGCGGAACTTCTGTCGGAGCCGGGGATGTCCGGGGGAACCCAGTTGCGGCGCCGAACCTCTCGCCGAACGAGGTGATCGGCGGAGCGAGATCATACTATTCATGGTAGATATTGGTCTTAAGTCATTAATTAAATGCGACTATGCTGTACTGTATAAATATGTATGTATACTAAATACTCAAAAAACCGAGGTCAAACCCAAGTCGGATTCGACGGGGCGCGTGCGAGAGAAAAGAAAGTGAATTGGTAGGAGGAAGATCATCCATACTGGGCCGGTTGTCCCAGATTGTTTGAGAGCGTGCGTAGGTTGAGAAAACATTTGACGAAAGATGACTCAGCGAACTTGTGCCGAGTGGTCTCAAAATCTGACAAACTGAGATGATTGGAAGTTGATGATTCTCCCTCACTGTTTATTTTTGCTCGTCATTTTCTATGTTCGCTGTTCGAGATGGGGTGTTCGCTGTTGGAGGTGTTAGCAAGGCAGTTTGGCCTGATTATTAGATTTGTATACCACCCAGACGCTCCAAGCAGCCCTTGGTCCCTCAAAACCCAGACCAGGCCTGCAATAGATGCGGCTTCGATCCCTCCAGAGGATTCGGGCCCAGGATCGGGGCAACAGCCAACAGCCACTGCCAACAGATCTTGGGTGCACGGAATCAGCTGGAGGGAATGCTGGCGGAATCGTCCATGAATATTAGGAGTTAGGGTAACCCAATTTGTTTCCTTTCATCAAGATGGGACCACCCCAAACACGGTGTTTCTTTTTCAGTTTTGACTTTCTCAGGGTTGTGGCGGTTGTGGTAGGTGAATATTCCGCCGCGGCCCCCTTCTGTCGTCCTTTTAGCTGCTAAGGTCCATGGTGACGAGGATGGTGCCCGAACGGGCAAACATGATTTTGCCGTCGGGGGCGAAGATCAGCTAAGCAGGAGCAAGACATCTACATAAAGGAGCAAACACCCCATCGTTGTGCAAATATACTGGTGCAGAGCCTCTGCCAGGAGCATAGTGCTACTGACATGTTTAACTCTGTGGTACTCATTGACGAGTTATTAATTAGTCAGTTTCCATTAGTGTCGGAGCTGAGGTAGTGTGTAGGACTCCAACTGGCATGTGTCTAAGTGATGGTTGACCACTTGTCATTAACAGCGACGGACCCATATGTCCCAGTATAGAGCGTTTGGAACTTTTGTTTGGCAAGTCGTGACCAAGAATCGGGCGGGAAGGGGGTGAGGATTGAGGATGGATGGCTTCACTCATGGGACCCTTTGAGAGTTGTTTTATTTCTTTAAACGGCACCCCAAATCAACGGAGGCCCCATGCGGGGGGGGTGACAGGTTCATGACTCATGACCATCCCAGGTGGAACGCGGTCGAACACCCAGAAGTGGAGACTCCTGATGGACCCTGGGAAAGTGCATCACCTGCAAAACCTGTTTGTTTGGAGTGGTTTCCCCACTAGACAAGAAGAGGTAGAACAAGGTGAGCCTGTATTTTTCAGGGATTTCCGGCTCAAGAGTCAGCCTGGGACCCTCCAGGTAGACAAGACATGACAAGACTGCCTTTTTTTCCTCCAAGGTCATGGACGGATCGGAAGCAGCAGACGCCGGGTGCACTCAGAGCATGTGCTTTTAGTGACAGATGTTTGCTTTGGTGCCGCAGGCTGAAGAGACTAGGCCATCAGGAGCCAGATCTAGCTCAAGAATTGTGTGGACTGTGACAGCAGTTTGGTTGCTTTGTTTTTGTGGCTGGCCAGAATCTGAAGGTCATAGATTATCTATTTTGGGGTTTGCTTGATAGCTGCTTAGATTGTCTTGTGATTTGTTCTTCTCAAATGCCCAATGGAAGCCGCCAAAGACATCGCTTTCAAAGCACCCTTTGACGGCTTTATATTTGGCGCAATGTTGACCACAATTCCATAACACAAACCTTTTCCTATACGTATACTTGGGGGTCTCAAAAAGAGGCGAACAATGAGAGGCCTGTTCTAGTTGGGCCGGCGCACCGTGCCATTGCTGAGGCGGATGGTTTGGGTCGGCATGGAGCGTGAGAAGTGGGATACTCTTGACGCGCGACGGACGCGGTAGAGACGTCACTGGGGAGGTGGTGAGACGTCGTCGACATCATTGGCAGATTCTTCGGCGAACGGCTGGTCCAAATCGAATGCCACTCCAAAAGAAACCAACTGTTGAGGACAGGAACAACGGAACTTGTCTTTGACATGTTTTGAGGATATTCAGCTGCTGTTTGCAGGTGTGAAGGATGAAGAAGAGTTCCAGTCTTGAAACCATCCAGTGACACCCTTGGATTAAATCTTTTAAAAGACAATTCCTTTGTGAGAAGGATTGCATTTGGAGACAGCGCTCTTCCCAAAGGGAACGCTTAGAAACAAAAACTGGAAACACGTGTTTTTGCGGAGCGAGACGGTTCACTGTGGGGCATGACACGTGTAGGCAGAAAACACCACCAATTCGGTCATGTTGTGTACTTCGCGTCGGCTGTGAACCCGGGGATCATGGCATTGTTGGTTTACAAAAAGCCACAAACCCTAGGGATCCAGTCGTACCGAACCTCAGGTACGGCACCTCAACCCGACAATGGCACCCACCCCACACACCTTCTGAGGTTCGGTACGACTGGATCCGAGGGAAAGCACCAGACATGCCAATTCACACTGCACGTTGCAGCAAAACTCGAGAAACAGAATGGGCAGCATGCTTCACTTCGATGACTGTCTTTTTGTCAGATGGAAGGACACGAGACCAAAGCCTGGATCTCACGTCGAAAAGGATGTTTCGGTCAAGGAGCCCTTTGACAGCCACAAGTTTAGGCGCAGATCATTGTTTTCACCACACGCACACAGTGGTTGATGCGTGTGCACGACGGCATGCAGCGGGAGCCATGGCTTTGGACGTTGTGCAATGATAGCCCTTCAAGAGGGCTTTTGTCCTTTCGTGACGTAGCTCATTATGGCAGAAGAAGTTTCGAGGCCCATGTTTTTCCTCACGCATCGTTTGCTCCAAGCTTGAAGAACACTCCATGAGAGAGTGACAACTGTGACAATGAGTTATATCAGTATATATCAGTTATATCCCTCGGATATGACCCACATGTAGTTGGTCGTTTCACACAGGGGGTGGTGGACCGTATGCCTTTTGAGCAGAGCGCATGGCGTTTATGGCGTTTCTTTGCTGCCATGAAACTTGAGGTCGGGGGAGGGCCTGGGCTAGAACTGGTGATGATGAAGTCTAGGTCGCATCATGTTTGATTCTTCATGTTTTGGCCTAGCCTGGTCCCTGTAAATTTGTTTCTTGCAGTGAGTTGGGTCGGTTTAGGATTGATTCCTTTCATTCAATGGATAGCAGGTACCATAACTCTCCCAAAGGTCTCCGCTTTTGGAGAAAACGTGGCAGGTGGTGACCTGTTGGAGGTTGGTCTAGGTCATTGAAAAAGGGCTAGTCGCACGTAGGTTGGGAGCCCTTGAGATGTGGTGTTCAGGTGCTTGCGTTGTATCCGGAAGTTTGAGCAGGCCAGGAAATGATCTCAGCAACTAGGAGCTTACCCTTTGAAGGGAAGTTTGATGCTGATAGTCTAGAAGGCACCAGAGTGAACAAGTAAAATGTATGCTTTCTGCCAGGTCTCGGCAACCCGCAAACGCGCGATAAAGAAGAGGAGAGCTTTCAACAGGGAGACAGCAGCTCTTGTGACAACATCAGTATGGACACTGCCATAGATTTGGATTACAGGATGTAGAACTGGATGCAAGTCAAGCCCTAATCGCAACTTGAAAGACCACGCTGCTCTTGAAGCACAGACCCCTTTCACATCATTCGTTACTCCTTTTTTTTCAAAGTTGTGATTGGGAACTGCCAAGTCTTGCTTACCGTCCTTTCTTTGCCTTATGTTTTCTTCTCTGGATGGTGTTCCATGAGCTTGGTGCTCCAAATTCCAGGTCCTTCGCAGCCTTTGCGCCCCCCTTGCCGCGTGAATGATGCGGCGCTGGTGCCTGCCAGTGCTGGCTGGGGCGGTCCTGAAGTGGATGGAAACGATGTCCAAAAGAGGATTTTAATCTGAACTTGTCTGGGGGTTCTGAGAAGGCCCTTAGTCCGAAGCTTTAAACCACAGAGTTCAGATGCCTCCGCAACGTATCCGCAAAGGCGGCCTTGGTGCTTGGCACACAGCCTGCGCCTGAGCCGTGCATTTTTTGGGCCACAGGGTGGTTGGGCAGAGATTTCCGAACACACACATGTGTTTGGCACCAACAAACCCTCAGCGATGAATCATATTCTCAAATTTTTGAGATTTCTTTCCTATTATAAGCCAGTTTGGCCGATTCCAAGTAAACACGTGAAGGCTTTCAACCAAAATTGAACGCTAGCTCTGCTCCGATGCCCGCGCATCCCATGGTCCAGGCAAGTGGAAAACCTGTAAACCAGAGCGCCAACATATGTGCGATCAATGAACAATTGAATTCGTGAAAGGCTGATCTGCAGTGTATTGGTATACGAGGTGATTCTTGTTGGCTAGCGCATCTTTTTCCACCCATCATCCCAAGGCAAATCCCTCTGAAGTTCTAAATCCTGAAAAACATCAAAAAGACAAAAGTACAGAAATCTCGATTTGTGTACTGTTGCAGTTCTTTTTTCATACCATTTACGCAATTTACTTGCGAATTGTGTGTGCCTTTTGTTGAGCGTTTGGCATGAAGAATCAGCTTTGCAGATGAACCATTGCACATCGAGTAAGACGAATAGCATGAGGGATGCTTCCATCTCTAAAGCTTATCTAACTCAGCATCCAGCTCTTCAAAACCTTAATACCAGGCATCAGGTAATCAGGTACGGCTGTTTTTCCAACTATGCCGGGGTGCCTTCAAACACCATCTAATCAAATTGAATCTTAATGAATTGAACGGTTCTTCTTTATTCATCTCCAAATGTTGAACTATTGGACATTCGAATGTCCAGTTTAGCGACTTGAGGTCTTTGCAGCTATTTGCGGACAAACGTGTTGAAACAATCATTAAAGCTTCAGGGCATTCTTCACGGTTACAGGCTCAAGGGTACCACCTTGATGCTACTTCCCAACAGCAACAAACAGCAACACTGAAACTAAGCACCCAACGTTTGGCGGTTTTTCGTGTGACACTGTGTCGTGCCATGTCCGTCATGTTACTGCGATTGAAGTTCTTTGTTCGGAGAAACTCCGTGTTTCGGGTGGCCACGGTAGGAACAGCTGCAAAGTCCCCCAAGTTCCCATTTCAGGCTGGACTTCTTACTGCTGGAGCCGGAGGAGCTCGAAGGGCGGAGGCGGCTGATTCTCGACGCCCCCCCAAAAAAGCGTGTCCCGCAACACCTTTCATCGAAATGTTGTGCGGGGTGCGGGAAGCGGGTGTTTTCTTCCAAACTTACCAGGATTTACCAGGGGTTGTCTGGGATGAACCCTATACTTTTACAAGCTTTTGCAATCTTTTGCAAATGTACATCGCGGCTTAAATGTGTGTTAAAGCTAGCTATATATATATATATATATTCCACAGAAGCTACATATGCCTGTTTACAGGTGCTAAGCCTGCTAAGCTGTACATGAACATCCCATCCCACAAGTGGGAGGAGATTGATCTTCCATCCCACAAGTGCCATGTGGCACCACAGCAAGTGCAACCCGTCCAAGGCGCGCCGTGTTGCCTTTCACGGATCCCCGGGTGAAGGCCATCCAGTTCGGGGCCCAGCGCCCCAGCGGATCCGGAGACAGTCGGACTGTCTGTCCTGTTGAACGCGAAAGGCGTGACCGCTGACAGGTGATTCCGAGAGAACTGAGGTCTGAACTTGGTCAGAAAGGTATGCCAGATGCTCCCTTGATATGTGATTTGAACTGGTTTAGGTGGCACTCTGTGATGATCATGACCAATGAATGAAGAATTTCCCAGAATAATGGTGCATTGGAGCTGCACCCGCATGGCCGCTCCATTACGTCGTACGTGTTGCGTCACAAGGTGACAAGTGTCCATAACCAAGTCCCTTTCACAATGCCCTGCATGATACGTATATGATTGATCAGTAACTATCCCAAACTGGTCTCCCAAACGGCGCAAAGCCTGCGGTCATTGGGCCAATTCTCATGTTCGTTCACCGTCCCGTGCACGTCCTCCGTCCTGCGAGTGAGGCCGCTCCTTTGGGCGAACGACCCGCGCGAGGCCCCGGCTCCTGGTTGATGCCGATGTGCCAGGTATGTTTGAAAAGGTACAACGATTCCAGATCCGATTCCCTGGTTGCAGTCCAATAGCCAAGAGTCTAAGTTGTTTATTTGTTAATGATATCTCATGGTATATGTAGTATATGAATTCCATGAATTAGTTTATTTGTATATTGTTATATATAAATATGGAGTTTTTAGATGATATTCCAAGCATGTTCTAATGTTTTCTAGCTGTTATGGCAGCAGATTCTACCAAACAGCTGGCTTGGTCTTCTTTCGCCTCACTTGGTCTCCACCAAGCAGTTTTGAACCAAAACGCGCGCGCGCCCTTGGTCGACACCCCCGAGGTGTCATCTCCAATGTGGCATCGTGGGTGAAGGCATTGGCGACGCCGAGGCGCCCACGAACCGGTTGGTTCGGCTCCGGAAGACCCGAAGACCCCGGAGGATCCCGGTGTCGGCAGGGTTGGGTCTTGGTCCGTTCCAACGCGGATCCACCAAGACCCTTTCGTCCCGTTGGACGAAACGGCACTAACGGCACAACTGGTGTGCCGAGGGTTTCGCAAACGGTGTTTTTTTTAGAAGCGGGTGTGAGGGATGCCTCGCAAATGATCGTTGGAGGACCTCTGAACTTTGATCCTTTGAGCAATACAACAAAGAACATCAAAGAACCTTCCGATATCTTCCGATAAGTGTTTGAAGCTGCATGCTGTCAACACTTCAGCACCATACACCGTTTTAAAGTTGTCATGAAAAGAAAAATGAACTCATACAGTCATGTGTTGTTTTCAAGAGATTTGTCTTCTCACTTTGCATCGATATTGAGCAGATGGAGCTTTACCTAAACACACCGCCGATGCACTGAGCGTTTCGGTGCTTCACGGGTGTGAAAAATGGTACAAAATGGTACAAAGCCAGTTGTTCATGTGGGCATGTATGTTAACACCCCTCGGACCTGGCTGGGTGTGACTGGTCTATTTTTTCGGATTATCGGAGTGTTGAAGGGATCGTACGCCAGGGGACCGGCAAGCCGGTCTCCACATCTCACTGTCTCACACCCATGCGGACGGTTGTGCTTTCGGGTGATTTTAGATGTTCCCCATGGGTAATCATGGGCAAATCCCCTTCCATATATGGCAATCCTTCCTTTATATCGATGTTTGCTCAAGGTGTATCATGGGGCATGGACCTGTGGCACCCCACAAGTCTTGTCCCATTTTACCCATCACAATGTGCTGTAACAGAACAGAGTCTTCGGCTGACCACCGGGCCTGAGCCCTTGCTACAGATCAGGTGGCGGTCCTCCAGTGGAAGGGGCTGAGCTTTCCACCTGGACGTCGTGGTGTTCGAGCCAGGCAGATGTGAATTTGGTGAGTGGAATGGAGCTTTCTTGTTTCTCCGCGCCCATTCACGGATTGGTCAACGTTCTGCAAAACCCCCGGTTCCGGGCGATTGGTGTTCCAAGTGCAGATGAAGAGATGGAAATAGATTTTAGCGGACTAAGATGTCGAGACACTGAAACAGCCGCGCTACTGAAATTGATGTTTGACGAGTTCGGCCCATGTTCTAAGAGTATGCGGGGGTGGATCTGAGAATGGAGCAGCCGATGTTCAATTGTAAGCAGACATGACATGAGTAATTGGTTAGACCCAAACCCGCGGCAAAGCAGCTGCAGGAACTCATACAGAAAACAACTCTTCACAAAGTGGTTCCAGCGTCTTTTGGCCTTACCAGGGGCTACTTTGACTAGGGTTGACCAAAAGTACTTTAAGAAACAACGTCAGATCCAGGATGTTCTGCATGCCTTTCGTAGGCCGGAGCCCAAGTCACTGGAAGTGCTCCTGAAAACCAGCGAGCGGCGTCCGGCCGCCCGGACATGCTGCACGCCTCAAGACTGAAGTGTCAGGACAAACGGTTGTAAGTTGTAAGGAGAAAATCATGCTTATAGATGAAAGGTGGTTGTTGAGTTAACTTATACTATATATGTCTCGGGTGTTTAGACCGAGTTCCTGGTTTTTCTTCTGGTTGTTGATTTTTAGCCATCCATACCCATTATCCACCAGCGATGACGTGCCGAGGGGATCCAGGCTTGCCAAAGCCACGCAAGCACCTGCTGCCAGGCTCCCAGAGGATGCTTTGAATGGCAGGAGGGAGTGGGACTGCTGCCTGATGAGATCAAGATCGAGAGATGAAAGATGATGACAGTGGAGAGCACTCAACTGTATACCCTCCATCCAGCAAACATGGAAGTGGAACATGGCGCCGTGTTCCACTTCCATGATTGTTTCAGGGAGGGCCACTAGTAAGTGGAGATAGAAAGCTCAGAAGCAGCGCCGGGGTGGAAGCAGCGTCGATCCAGTTTTTGCGTGAACGACCTTTTTGGTAGAGCATTTGTTTTGAAAGAGTTCACCGGGATCGAATGAGAGAATATATATGTGTGTCAGCTTTTGTTTGAGCACATCTTGATTCCTCGTTCAAAAGATCATGAGTCATAATTCATCATCTCAAACCCACCAATTGTGCCCAATCTTGCTGGATGTGCCGCGTCTCACCATGTTGGAACCTCTTTTTGGCACTCCCCTCACGGCACGGGTGTTTGTTGTAAAACCTGCTTTTCGTGTCCAGAAAAACCTGCACTCCTCATCATCGGTCCGACGACGTCGCACTCAGACGACGAGAAAGGCTCGTTGCTTCTCTTCGGTCGGTCGCTTCAGGTTGGCGATTCCCAGACCCTCTCGACTGGAGCGATTGCTGCCGCAGAGCCTGGCGGACGCATGGGGCGAATCGGTTTTTGGGGTCCGGAGAAGCCGTATCGCTGGATACTTTGGATCAAGATGGATGATCGATGGCACTAACCTAGAACCTCTCCCTATGATTTTTCTCATATAGAATCTATATAAGGCGGCTGGCATCATAGGACCCGAAATAGTTGGTTTCTCAATCCAACGTGTCCATCCTAATGCTGATAACATCGCTCAAGGCTTGGATCTTCACGCCATGATACTGGAGGAAGAGAGTACATGCGATAGAAGAGCCATTTTCAGAGCCGAAGAGAGCAGACGAAGAACCATGAATCTGGGCCATGAATGTGGCAGAGCCATTCGATAGAAGAATCTGGTTATAAACTGATGCTTTCATGATCTTTCATGTTTCCCCTATACTGGTTAAATCGAAGCCTTCGGTCGAAAAGCCATGAATCAGAGCCTTCTGTGCGACCTGGGCGATGATCTCGTCCTTCGTACCTGGCCATGACGGTGGCTGAGGCCTCACGTGGCGCACATGGGCGTCGGGGATCCCGGAGGCAGCGTGCTGCTCCACTTTGGGGCCCAAGTTAGTGCTTTGGCACTGATGGTCGAACCAGTTATTCCATGCAATTCCATAATTCCCTTAAAGATGTTTAAAGAATTGGGCTGTGGGATTGCAAGTGATCCATTTCTCCAACCAAAAGTGGTCCCAATGGTTTTTTTTGCCTGAGCAATTGCTGAGAATGATCCTCCCATTCTGCAGCAGTCTGTGGGTGAACGACTTTCTTTCCGCGTTTTTTTCTCCAAATTTCGCTGCGGCACTTAGTTCCGCGCGGAACTCGTCACTGGTTCGCCGCGTCACTTCACTCGCTTCTTTCGCTCGTGAATTGACTCGCTTTCCGAAGCGAGGTGGGGCATCTCATCCTCACGGGCGCCAACAAGGTGGACGCCAAGTACTTCAGGTCCGGGGTCCTTCGGCTGGGCCGCCGCTTGCGCCGGCCGACGTTTGTCTCAAGCTCTGTGGTGCAAGTCGATGGGCCAAGATGTGGAAGATCTTGGAATTTGCATTCGGTCATGATGCTGATGATGCATGTTTGCCAAGTATTTGAGTACATTTGAGTAGATAAGGTCAAAAACAATTCAGGTATATCCGGCCAGGGTGGCAGCTTACCCGACGGGAGTCAAGACTTTACAGGAAAAACACGCATGCAATTTATGCGCTTGCAACAGCATGTCCCGTTGAGGCGTGTTTGCCTTGAATAAGGGGTTGCCCGATTTCTCTCCACATGGAATCGCCACGTTTGTAACCGGAGTTGAGGTCCTTGATGGTCCCTGCCCTGCGGCATTTGCTTCGCCTGCGAAGTAGTGTCAGAGCAGCCAGGTAAATTAGAATATTACAATGACCTTGCAAAAGGAAACGGTGCCGCTGAAAACTTGGAGTACGTCACAGCGTTTGAAAATATTACTCACTGCGATGCTGCTCCTTGCTACCTGGTACCTTGAGCAGCCTAGATTACATGGCAAGGCGATGGAGAGTAGACTTTGTGGAAGTGATGGAGAATTCCAGTGGGATCCTGCACTAAGCACTGCTGCCTGGCTACTTGAGGTCAGCAGCAGTGGCATGTCATATTGCTGGGGGGGCGGCAGGCAAAGTGGTTGGTATGAGTTCAGGTTGCCAGGCCGGCAAGCAGCCAAGTTATTGGAAGAGTGGCAAAGCGTTGAGGAAGCTCATGGAAGCTCATTTTTTGGAGAGCGCCGGCCGAAAAACACGAGGACGTTCCGGGTGGTTTCACTCACTGATTGAAGCTACTTGTCACTATAATAGTCAATGTTATTGTTGTTCGTGCATTGCGAATGGTGCCACCTTGTCATACCTTGCCATTAATTTGTTTATAGGCACATGTCATTTTCCTTTGCCTGGGGAAGCCGAGGGAACCTGGCCTTCGCATTTGGTCATGTACACTGCGAGGAAACCGTTGCTTGCTCTTCCTGGCTTCTCCCAATCATAGGGGGTACCCCATGGTCGCGGCATCACATCGCCAGCTGACACGGCGCGACTTCTCCCGCGTGGGAGGGACCAGGGACGGCAGCCAGGAGCCATGTGATGGAGGGCTCGTACTTGCGAAGATGCTTGGGATTGGGCTTGGCAGGTGTGAGAGGCTTAATGAGTCACAACATTCCAGAAGGCGTTGGCATTCAGATACCTATTAAATTTACACACAAGTTCCATCAAGCCATATGTGCATCCCGTGTCTGTCATGTTCACTTCCTACATCACAGCATGGAATGGCATGGAATCTGCCCCCAGCCTATTTTAAATTCTTCAGCTCGCGGGCTCCAATGCCTTTGACTGAGGCAAAGGACACCACTATGCCCCAAGTCACCATCCAGCCCAGCCTCCAGGAGAGAACTAAAGTTTGGCATCCAGCATTTTGAGCCAACTACAGCATCTGTTTTCCAGGCACACGCGGTGTAAGAATGTGTACGAGATCCCCTCTTGCAGTTCCTAAAGCTCTATTTTTTCAACCTCTAACTCCGGATCTCAGTCTTCCTCATCTGAATAGAGGCCGACCGCAGTAATGACCGCATCGTTCGCACCGTGGTCAACCTCGGCCCCACCCCGAACAGCGCCTCCTTCGCATCGAGTCCGGTCGGCCAGGAGCTTCTGCGAGGTCTCGAGCAGATCCTCCCTGGTCGCAGACTGAGATGCCAGTTCCTCCGGATCATCCAGCGAACCGGGAGAGCAGCCGGTTCGGGATCCGGCTTCGGGATCCGGGTTCGGTCGGTCGTTGGGATGGACCCACGGTGGAACCAAACGGCATGGCAGGGCTGATCAGGAGATGCGATGTGGGAAATTCGATCGACGGGCGAAGGTTGCTAACGGAAACCTTAATTAATTAGACCTCTAAGACCTGTTGCTGACTCACGTCAAGTTGCAGCCTTTGTAGAGCACCTCACTAGGCTGAGAACCACAAACTGCTGAATTTGCATGAATTTGCTTGGTGCTTCTCCACAACTGTCATGCGATGCCACGGGTGAGAAGATCCATCCAATACATCTCGTACAACGATTGGGGCGCACACGTAGAACCAGAGGTGGACACCAAAACCATCCAAAACCTACTCATCCGCAGAGGTGATGTCACCCGATTGGTGGCCCATCCCGTAGAGGAAGAGGAGGGGCCCGCGTGTGGGAGCCTAGGCCCTCGACAGGTGACAAGCTATTGTTCAAAGGACTTTGGGTAGGTGACAACACCTAATCTTCCTATTTTTTTCATGTTGGAAACGAGGGTTTCCTAGCTGGACTCGATGACTTAGTTCCAACCACTGCGAGGAAGGAAGCCTGTCAGGTGTTCCATAAGTGCCATGGCCCATGAAAGCTGCGTCATGAGAGTCGATCACACAGAGCAAGGGTATAGCCTGGGGGGTAGGTAAGAAACAGCTAGAAAGTAGCCGCTACACATATTTTGGCAGCCAGAGCATTTTAGTGCTTGAAAAAGCAAAACACATGTTTGTAAAACAATATAAAACATAACATGTTACATGTTTCTGGATGGTAGAGTTGGCATTTACAATGTAAGGTCGCCTATTGTTTGTTTTCACATGTTTTTTTTTTTGTGTTTCATATGTTATCATATGTCATATGTTTGACGACACTACGACGTTTGTACCTAGCCTGGTGATGAGCGGTAAAAGTTGTTGTTGTTGTTTTTACTTTTTTTCCGGCGGTAAGTGCGTGAAGAACAAGCTCCTTAGGCTGCGACCCTCCTCCTCAGAGGTGGCAAGCTGGGACGGTGTGGATGGACCTTCGCAGTTGAGTCGGTCGACTCTGGGCAACCACAGCTGTCCTTGGATTTTGCTGTCCATATTCACCAGGTGAACCTGGAAAAGAAATGAAAAGTAACATATTCACCAGGTGTGGGGATCTAACATGATCTATTCATAGGGTTGAAAAAAAGAAAGAAAACAATCACCTAAGTAAAAACCAGGATTCAGGCTCTTTGAGTGGGAGAGTGGCTTTTAACAGCTGGACTAGCGCACCATCGATCACCGAGATTGGCGACACACACGCTCACCACATGTCATGCGAGGCCCACAAGTTTCTCAGTGTGCCAAACACACAGCATGTTCCGTTTGCATCCTGCAGATGATCTAAGACAACTCCTTTTTGCACCAACGGTCGCAGGTTCCTTGCCACACCCGGTTTTGGGATCTCGGCCAGGTTTTGATGGCCATCGGTGCTGCCCTCATGATCTCGTAGCATGCAAGTGCCACAACATTTGCAACGATTGCTGTCCTCCATTTGTTGCATTGTTGACCTGCTGAACTACCTGTTGACCTGCTTGCAGCAAAACAAAGCATATGGCTGTGTGTCCGGAGGCCGTGAGAACCGTCAGGTGAGCTTCGATCATACAATATCATATAGTATATCACATACCTAGAACCTGAATGACCTCTATTTTGGATCACCAACCACCCAAAATAAGGTCTTTTCCTATCAAAACAGAGGTCAAATGGGCTCTAGGTATATATATATATACAGAACGTCCAAAGGGGGTTCAGAGGAACGAGGGTGATGCCGTTTTTTTCTTTCTTGGTCGTGTTTGGGCTCAAAGCTGAGTGGTCGATGCAACCTTGCTGGTTGAGACTGATATATATATATATATATAGGATAAACCTGGAATGTATTGTGGATGAGACGGCCACACGATCCGATCCGATCTGGGAACCGAGGCCCCGAGGCTGGCTGGGAAGAGTCTGGAAGCTCAACAACATGTGTTCTGCCACAGCCTGGGGGACAATGGGGACGACGCGGACCGGTTGTATTCTCCCTTTGGCCCCTTGGCCGTTGGAAGATGATGATGGAAGGGGAACCCCTCCCAAAACGCAAGCACGCCCAGCCACAGCTGGTCGCGTGAGATTTGCGAGATCTAGAATCTACCTATAGTACTTCCGATGGGTGTCCAATGGAGACCTGTAAGTAGGGTAGGGTAGTCTAATGATGTCTAATGGATCTTTGAATTGGAGATGCTCTTCATATATGGGTCTTATTGGTCAGGAGTCTACACCAAGATAGAATCAGGAGTGTGCTTAACTAAACATGGATCGACCTGTGTGTCGTGCCAAGCCTCGTTTCCGGGGTTTCCGGATCCGTCCCTCAGGTCGGAACTCAACGCGCCAGATGACTCAGACCAGCACTGATTGCGGCAGGAAGCACAACTGGCAGTAGCAGAATCTTCACTGGGCAGTAGCAGGTGCGGGTGATTTTGTTGCAATGGTTCAGGCTTGCGGCTTGCGGCTTGAATGCTTTAAAGGTCTCAAGTAGAGAAGAGTGCCTCACCTCCGTATCCCGGAGCACAGTAGCTCGAGGATGGTTGAATTGGAGTCGGAGTCAAGATCAAGATCAGTTCTTTGATAAAGTCAGTCTCCACTGTTGAACCCACCTTATGTATCCCTATAGGGATCCAAGTACCTTCTCAGAAGGTGGAGACACTGTTATGTAGGTGCCAGGAGGCTCCAGTGGTACCTTCTGAGAAGGTAGTTGCCCTATAAAATTAGACGACGAGTTTCATGGGTTAACCCTCCACCACCTAGATTCTACCGTCCACATCCGTGCACCACCTGGAAAAAAGGACTCTTTTTGTTTCACCAGGAACCAGGTTTGGCTTAATAAGCTGAAGGTGCTGTTATATGTTTCCATGATTTTCTGGTTCAATCCCCATCCCCCCGAATGATGTGTTATTTGCGGCTCGTTCCTTGCACCGTTCTCCCAAACGCCTGGTGTTTGTGGCTCGGCCGGTGGTCACCGAGGCTGCAGAGCTCCGGCTTCCGCACGGTCTCCCTGGGGCCGCGGACCCTTCGCACGGACGTGGCCGCCGTGGCGGCGTTGGCCGCTCGGTGGAGGGCGAGCCGCGTGTGTTGGGTGCGATTGCTCGCCGGCCGCAGGAAGAGTTCAGCTTGGTACGAAGGTCCGTCCGTCCGTCCAGAGACTCTTCCACATGGGGTTTCAACTTCCCGGTGCCATGCAGCTTCTGAAGAATGTGAACAGTTTGCAAGGCTAAGGCTTGAGGTCCGGTGATGGTACCTTTTTCCTTTGTAGAGCACCCGGCGCTTGCAGCACAGGCAACCTAGCAGTGGAGTTGTTGCATTCTTTTTGATGATTGAGTGATTCTGAGTTATTTGGGGATGGATCATAACAGTCAGTCACAAGATGGTGGAACTATGTGGAACTTCAGATTCCGATTTCGGTCAGAACCAAGTCTCCTTTGTGCAAGCTACTTGCGCAAGTGGAGAGAAAGGGAAGGACCGAAAACTTCGGCCCTTGAGAAGGGCTTTGAGGGTTGACACCTAAGGTGTCGGGTCTGACCCCTGCCATGGAGATCGCAAGGGTTCTTATATCACATGCTATCACTATCACATGGCTGTTTTTTTTCCGCTGAGTGGGTTGCTCCTTGTCTTGCTTCTGCAGGTTCCTTGAGAGCGGAACCTGCCGACACGAACAGTGAGGGCATCGCGGCCTGGGGGATCCTGAAAAAAACCGTGAACCATCCCGACCAGTGGGCGTGGTTCCCACGTGGGCGTTTTCACGTGGGTAACTCGGTACGTCGCTGGTTGTTTCGAGCAGATGGCCCCCCCCCGTGAGCGCCCTACATCGACCGTGTGTTCGATCAAGTTGTTTGGGGAAACACAGGTTTTTGGTCCCGGAAGGCCGGGCCTAATCTCTTGGACACATCGAAACTCAAGGTCTCAGGTGCCTCTCCTTGGATGAAGCGACCTTGGAGGGAAACATCCTGAGATTGTCAGACCTTGGCATCACTCCTAAGGCCTTGTCAGATCAACTTGTGGCGCCGCTGAGAGGAGAGCGCCAGTGACGCCGAGATCAGCGTACAGAAGAAATCGGCTTCCACTTCATGAGCGACTTCTCGGATTCCACATGCTTATGTCATTCATGTCATTTCATGTTTTTAGATTGTGATGGTTTGTGATTGGCTGCTTTAATGATGATGATGATTATATTTACCTGTTTTTCAGGGGAGGGTGATGTTGGTGGCGGTTCAAGATAGCTCAAAATATCAAAGGAATATATACGTCTTTCTAGAATGTATCATGTAACAGCACATGGCTGTGACCATTTGGCTCAACCAGCTTGGGTGGGAAGCTCTTTGTTTTGTTTGCAGATTAGGTGAGATTTTGCAACAGCTTGCGTGTCCATATGATAATTCATAGTTTGTACACAACCTATACAATTTGCAGATTGTAGATATGTCTAGAATCTCTTACCCAAGAGCCTGAACCAGCAAACAAAGCAATGAAGAAGCAACTGAAAACGTCGTTCTCCACCATCAAGTCAACAGCACTGACAGTGCACAGCACGTCGGTACGTCGGTCCGGACCTTTTGAATTAGTTTGGGGCCACACTGCTATGCTGAGTGCCCCATCTCGGACTCGGCCACTCTTCGAAGCGCGCGTATTTATAGACCTCTTATATAAATCAGCCATGAAAATCCTTGGGAACTGTTTTCAGCATGACCAAACCAGTGCACTACCAGCACTTCCCCAGTCCACGGAGGGGATTGAAGCACAGCCAACCAGCGAGATGCGCCGGATGGGATGGCCATGTGCCTTGGCGAACGAATGGTTGATGGTTTAGATCGGGATTGGACATTGCTGGTTTAGTGTTCACCTTTCCCAAGTTGCGAGATATTCGTACATACTGTTTGAGGGGCACCCTTTTCAGCAGTTTGCATGCGAAGACTTTGAGGTGCAACTTCTTGTGTTTGATTGCGATCAGAACTCATGGACTTCGTGCGATTGAAAGAAGATGCCGACGCAAACGGCGATTTAGTTTCGCTGTTTCCTGTCGGTATGGGCATTCTTCTGGTTTGTAGATGTTTGTAGTTGGGTGGCCTGCCAGACCAGGGCCCAGATCGGGTTTGCACCGGGTCACGATATGGAGCGTGAGATTTCCCAGAGGAGGTGTCCAATTCGGCATGAAAGTCACGTCCGACATGTTGAACAGATGTTGTGAATCATGAGGTTAGGTGATTTGAAAATTGGGTCACTGGCTTCCACGTCGAAATTGACTCAGACATGGAGGTCGGCGCCCCAGTTCTGCCACTCGAGCCATTCAGGTCGGGAGCTGCGCAACGACCCACCGGCTCGGCGGTCGGCGCCTTTCTTGTGCTTCGGGGGGGAGCACTCCTCAACGTCATAGACACGGAGGGTCATCTCTGAGAGCAAGTTAATTGTATTTAATTGTAATTACTAGTAGTAGTGCCACGCTAGTAGTAACAGGTGCCTTACTAGTAGTAACAAGAAGCTAGTAGCAACAAGTGCCAGGCTAGTAGTAACAGGTGCCTTACTAGTAGTAACAAAAAGCTATTAGAATTAAATTCAAAATTGCGGCAATCGAAGTTCTAACATGTTCCTAACCACCAGCATTCACCATCTGTCACTGTGCTATCGAGGCTAGGGGTGAACATCCACGACCCTTGGATGGGACGAGCCACACCACCCCGTCGAACGTGACTCCTGGTAATTCTATATGAATTCTATTAATGATTACTTGGCATGATGTTGCGTTCACCGTGTCTGACGGGACAACATCTCATCATCGCTCCTTCTAACGGCTTCACCCTTCACAAAGCGTCGCCGCAAGAAATGTCAAGGCCGTGCCTCCTAGGGCTTTGCAGGCTAGTGAGGGCATGGGCGGGGCTGGGCTGAGGATTGCATCCTCCGAAAAGTGGGTACTTTCGCAGGATTTTGATTGAGAGAACCTCGGTAGTGAACATAGGTTCACTGGTTGATTCAGATTCAGAATGATTTTAGCTTGCTCCATTGTGTGAAGGCCATCATCATAAGACATCTATTTGGCCAAAAGACATCGAAGTCAAGGTGCGCGGCTTTCTTTCCTCCCAAGAAACTGGGTTGATTGTCCTGCCCTGAAGATCTCAAGCGCACAGGCCAAGCAGGAGGCAAACTACATCCGTTGGATTCTCAGATCATTCTCCTGTTACACAGTGTCTTTGTGCACTTCATCTCCTCGTTTTTCGACTTCTTGGGGCTTGATTGTGACTTTTTGTGACTTCCCCAAGGGTACGGATCCGCCATGAAGGTGGCTTCTAGTCGAGTTCAGAGCTGTTTCAAGAGGTCTTGGGGTCTCCTCGCACAAGTGCGCCAGTGCGATGGAGAGGAAAAACGGCCAGCTCAGGACCAGTCGAGGGGAAATCGGCCAGAGGCCAGCAAATTGCTGGGGGGAAGAGGGTTGAAGCGAAGAAGTCCACAGACGTTTGTTTTAAAGACATTTGTCAACAGCTATGGTGAAATCAGTCAAATTAGTGTGATACTTCCGAGATTGTTACAAGCAGATGCATTAGTTTACTTGATCTTGAGCTTGGAGGTAGCTTAAACAATGCTAAACAAATGATAGGATAAGGCCGTAGCGGAATTGAATCGGCATAGGACAAGATCCTTCACTCGATGGTCCACCTACAGCCCTGTGCCGGAATGCATGCTTTGGTCATGTACTGGCCATCATGGTTGGTGTTCATTTTGCTGGATCAAGCGGTCCATGTTCCACTCCACGGTATCTAAAGCACTTGTGGTGCTTGCCGCAGGGCTAATGGCAGAGAACATTTCTTCTGTGTCGCCACATCATCACCGTCATTCGCTTGATCATGTGCTTAGATGCAGGCGGTTCTTCCGTGCACAAAAAGCGCACGGTTCTTGTTGCAAGAGCACACATCACGCTGCTGATGCAATTTGAATTCGATTGATAGCTGCCACCCGTGTCAACAAGATCCAACAAGCCTGACCGGCAACGTAGGAAATCAATTCTGATGAATTGCCATGTTCAAGACCTGAGATGCTTCTTCCACATTGGCCAATCGGATTCTGCCACACACGAATCAGATCAGTTAAACATGCAGAACTGACCGGCACAAATGAGTGGAATTCCTTTGCAAATACATCCCGGTTCTGACTTTGGTCGGAAATTGGTGGAACCTGAGGCCTAGGTCCCCAAGAAGATCCATGATTTGCACACACCAACGGGGAGCGTAGCATAGCCCAACGGCGCTGCGCCGTCGCCAGGGCTGACGTGGCGGGGCTGCTGGGGCACGGGGACTCGGGGTCTCGGTGAGCTGAAGCGCCGAGTCGGAAGTGTGGACTGGGAAGGGTATGAATTGGGTAGAAGGCTTGGTCGCTTTGGTCGGTGGGTTTGGAAGGCTTGGTGATGCTTGGTGTTTTGAGGATGTTTTTTGATGCAGTTTCATGGTTTGCTTTCCAGGGTTGGCCAAGTGTAGCTCTACGGCACATCGACATCGAGACATTTTTTTTGGGGTCATCCCTGCAGACCACTTTGTCAATTGTTGGTGTTGTCCCAAAGGCTATGTCAGGCTACTGGTATGTGAGGAAAGAGTAGGCCCTGGAGTTGTATCTTAAAGCCTCCATCCCTGAGCGGCGACTCTTCTTTTTTTCTCCTCATACCACCATTATGGTGGCTTAACATGGCTTAACTGCAAAGTGTCCGGAACTGCCCACACCAAGTAGAGATGATTCTTCAGCATGCACCCAGTTCCTGGGATTTTCCGTGTTCGGTCTTGTGGTTCCTCATTCTACTGCAAGCTTTCAGGCTGCTCCTCCACGGAAATTGGCATTTACGTCTTGGCGACGGTTGTTGGTGACTTAGATCCCAGAGATGTGGCGTGAATGTTCACAGAATGTCATGTCATAAACTCACATATACTGAGGGTGCTTTGAGGTGCTCTTCTTTTGCAACATGTTTGGGACCATTCATGGAGATCCGGGCCGGATAGATGCCCTTTCAAAACCTCGACTCCTTTTGAATATCCAACTGATCTCTTGAGCCATTTGGGGCATACATGGCCACGAGAAGGGTTGCTTGCAAGTGTCAAGCCAGAAATGACATCCAAAACTTATTATTGTGTGATATTGTTGGTGTGTGTGTTATTTTTTTCAGGTGAAATGATTGGGCAGAGCGTCATGCTGTCACGCCACGTCCCTTTTGATGAAGGGGGGGTGATCCCAAAAGAATTAAGAGCAAGTAGCCCCTGAAACTGGAGTATAGTTGGAAGAAGTTATGAGGTGCTTAGTAGGCGTGCATGAGGTGTAGGACCACCCTGTTCTTTTCCCGAAACCTTGTTCGTTACAGGATGTGGTTGCTAAGCATAAAATATAAACCCTTTCTGTGCGGCATTCCATACCATGTTTGCCAATGTGCGCATTACCGTATACAGCTTGGCCACTGTCGTAACAGTATGTTGTAATTAAATCCAACAGATCATTCCTACCCCTACTTAGTAGCTTTCAATGTGGTACCCCGAGATGCTTGGATGCTTGTCTCCGTTCCTCTAGAGTTTCCGTCGTTTTTTCCTCTCCTCTTGCAGCCATGAACAGCACACAGAATTACCATACCACTTGCCCTTTGGACTTTTGGAGAGGTGTTCAACAAAAATGGGTCCAGGTTTGCCATGGCTTGCCCCATCCCGTGATTCCCCATGTCAGTCAACGCTTCGTGTTGAAATCACGGATTGGAGTCACGCTGCGCTCACGCACGCGCCGCGTGACCTATCGATGTGGATCAAGTGTTCTGTGCAACTCGCAGCGCTGAGGTCGGACATATACACTTGCAACCCCTCCAGGAAGGCAGAGACCTGGACAAAATCCGAGGGATTCACGGCGAGGTTTGGTGCGCGAATTCGTTTGGTTCGCGACGGACGACCGCCCGTCCGACGCCTTCGGGCCCGGCTTCATCGGACAGAGCTGCAGCTGGGGTGAATTGGGTCGGAGAGAGCTGGCCTATCGTGGCCTGGGGGGTTTTGGGGGTGTCCGGAATATTTGGCCTTTTCTGGTGCAGCGCAGCATGCTGAACGTTGCAAATGGCGGAGGGAAGACGATCCTCAGCGGCTGAAGCTTGTTCCACGCCACGCCTTAAGCTCCTTGACCATCACGGCCATGAGACTCATTGCCTGTACATCTCCACCCTCTCCACCCTCCACCGGCAGCCTCGAAGCGCGGCTCGTGGTCAGGCTCCGAAGCGGAGTACAAGGCAGCCCTGCAAGACGTTCGCAGGTTGCTGCAGGAATGTGGGAGGGGAGACGGTGCCCAGCCCTGCAGGAAGTGTTTTTCGGGGTTCCGCTGTCTCGAGTGGTGTTTTTGCACAGTGCCTCCTGATGGATGCCTTTTGAAGGAAGATTGAAGCTGAGAGCTATTAACTTATATCACACAGCATGTCAAGAGTCCTCATTTTCCTTATGGTTGGGCTTCCCAACCTCCGAAGGGAGGTCTTCCTTTTGTGAATTTTGACCTGGAACCGAACTTGATCAAGCCCGCAAGATGCTCATCTCGTCTCGCAGCATTTCCTGTGAGGAGTCCCTGCCGGCCAGCGCGGTCTTGGCGAATGTGACTTGGGTTTGGGGTCCCAGCATGCGGGTAGCTGGGACACTGGGATGCAGGGGGTGTGCTCAGAGATGGAGGTCAGAGCCTGCACTGAGTGTCATCAAAATCTACACTGTTTTCTCGGCTCATCAAAGACAATGCCCTTTAACAAGGTTCCAAAACAGTGGGATACGATAGGGGACTCACGCTGCAACAGCCACATATAGTAATGTTCAATCATACTTCATTATATATATACATATATAATATTAAAATATATTATATATATATTAATATATGATCACTTTAGGTAAACCTAAAATGTTGTAGATCTCAATGTACACACACTTCTCCCAAAGCAAGTCTCCGCTATCTCCCCAGTCCACTTCTTTGCTCCGGTCAGATCCACCCAGCTCCGACCAGGCACGGGCGTGTCCTCAGAGCAGTGGTCGCATGGCAGAAGTGGCCATCGTCGGCACCCTCACCGCGTGCGCCGAACGGAACCGCGCGGAACAGGGAATCGTTCGGTCGGTGCGGCGGTGCTCTTTTCGGGACGGAGGAATGGAGGAGCGGCCGGACTATGGAGATGGAGCACTCCAAGATGCGTAATACACTTTTTTTGTGTTCCGGCAACCGGCGCCGGCAACCGGCACCGGCACCGGCAACCGGCACCGGCACCGGCAACCGGCCGGCAACCGGCACCGGCCACAGTGTACCGGAACAGCGCACCGGGAATCGGCAACAGGGCCGCGGTAAATGTCAACTCGCCTTGAGTAATCGGACACGGCTGCGCAGCAGCGATCATACCTTTGGACTGTCGTGTGATAGAAAGAGCAAACGCATATGTACAATTAAGACCCAACAAAGAAACAGAAAAGATATAAATAGATACCCAAAGAAAGATAGATAAAGATAGACAGATTAGATTACAATAGATTAAGTGAGATAATGCCAGGTTAGGTTAGATTAGATACGGTTTGATAGTTAGATAGGTAGGTAGGAAGGTAGATAGATAGAAAGGTAGATAGATAGATAGATTAGAAAGATTAGATAGATGAAAAAGATTAGATTAGATTAGATAGATAGATAGATAGATAGAAAGATAGATAGATAGAAAGATAGAAAGATAGACAGACAGATAGATAGATAGATTAGATAGTTTGATTGATTGATTGGTTGATAGATAGATAGATAGATAGATAGACAGAGAGATAGATAGATAGACAAATAGACAGATAGATAGATAGACAGAGATAGATAGATTAGATAGATAAACAGATAGATAGGTAGATAGATAGATAGATAGGTAGATAGATAGATAGGTAGATAGATAGATAGATAGAGCGAGAGAGAGGTAGATATAGATAGATAGATAGATAGAGAGAGGTAGATAGATAGATAGATAGCTAGCTAGATAGATAGACAGACAGACAGACAGAGAGATAGATAGATTAGATTAGATTAGATTAGATGAGATTAGGTTAGCTTAGATTAGACTAGATTAGATTAGATAGATAGATAGATACATAGATAGATAAGATAGATTAGATTAGATTAGATTAGATAAATAGACAGATAGATAGATAGGTAGATATATCGTTGATTGCACGGTTGATTGATTGATAGACAGACAGATAGGGCAAGCAGACAGAGACAGACAGACGGACACCGGCCACAGGCCACCGGCGCAGGCCGACCGGACAGCAAAGGGGCATTGCCCGGCCACCGGCACCGGTGCCGGCCACCCGCGCAGCCACCGGCGCCCGCCGCCTGCCACGGTGTACCGGACCAGCGCACAGTTATTCCGGCGGACACAGACAGACGGACACCGGTCACTGGCACCGGCCACCGGCTCCGGCACCGGCCACCGTCTCCGGCACCGGCGCGGGCAGCGGCTGCCGGGCAACGAACGGTGACAGCCACCGGCCACCGGCGCCGGCGCCGGCAGCGGCTGCCGGGCAGCGGTGCCAGCCACCGGCCACCGGCACCGGCATCCGGCACCGGCAGCGACTCCGGCACCGGCAACGACAAAAAAAGTATATACTCCCAAGATGACCAAGGGGGTTGGATGGGATGGATGTTGGTGCGAAACCTGGCGTTGCGGATCAGGTGATAGGTCGGAATTCCCAGCCACCTGGGGGAAGATGTATTGTTTTACCTGGCTTCCTGGACAACGGTTTCTGAATTAAAGCTCAAATGGTTTTTTAGGAGAGACTTCCAGGAAGGCTGCGCACTTTGTTACATCGACTTCACCCTGTGAGATCTTCAGCCTGTCGGGGAAGCCGGCCTTGGTTTTCTGGGATCACTTCAGTCAAAAGACATAAGTAGATAAGTGAACATATAATAACAACCGGATGATGTTGGATCGGACTTTTGCTGCCCAATTGAACAAATTGGGGCAACCTTAGATGTGCAGGAACCTGGAGGATGAAGCCGATGGGTCGACTGTGCAGATTTGATCAACGGCACGGCTCAAGCCCGCACATCTGAGAGCGATCACCCATCCGAGAGCCATACCTGATGTGCCTGGGCATCGGCCTTTTTTTGGTTTTCGGCAGTGAATGAGTTGGCCATTTGTGCCTGAAGTGAAGGCAGTGATTGCAGTGAAGGTCATGAATTTGAGCATTTTGTCTTTTAGAAGGCTCAAGGGTTTCAGTTGGATCCATCCGCATAGTGAGGTCAAGATAGGAAGAAAGGGATTCCCTTAATTCGGGCAGGTGCAGTCTTTAATTTCCACCTTGGTGGAGGTGGGCTTCCCCACTATCAACCAACAACCGAAAGAAGTTGTTGCCTCAAGTTGATTTTTAAGGAACTCACTCATTCAAGACTCGAGACGATGTTTTTGCCTTCCATTCCAAACCCATAGACTATGGGATACCCCCCAGTCGTGCACAACCAACAGGGTAAGGTACGGAACGAAATCGACCCCCTCTGTTGTTCCCAGTCGTACGGGTTCCATGTGGATGTCCAAACGCCGCGTTGCGCACGACCAGAAGCGGCGACCAGAAGCGAAGAGGTGCGCCCGCTGTGACCTTACCTAAGCGAACGACCTCCAGGCGCTCAGCCCCTCACGAGGCAGGACCAGATGTGTTGCGGTAACAGGTGCTGGTATGTGCAAGGCTGTGTATGTTCAGCTATAGCATGCACCAGCACCACCTAGCACCGGGTGCTGGCGTCCCCCATGACTTTCGATTATAACCACCCGAGGCTGGGGTGGTGCTGGTATAAGCAATAAGCCCCAACCACGTCCTGGGATGGGGGTCTTGACCTGTGTGGCTTCGCTTGTCGCTGCTTGGGTTTTCACTGTTTCGTTTCTCCATGTTTTAACCTTCATGTTTCAACTGTCGCCATCCTCTGATCCGACTGCGCAAATGGCGCTCCTTTGCTCTGTGCAAACTATAGCCTTTGCTTTGTGCTACCATGCGCTCCCTTTGTGCTACCGTCATGTAGTTTGTTCGCATAACCAAGAAAGTCATCGCCCGGATTCCAGTCGCAAACAGCTATAGTCAGTTTGTCCCCAAGAGCTTAAAAAGGAATAAAAAGGACGTGCTGCAAACGTTCTCAAGCAAGACATGCTGAAAACCCAAAAGCTGGTTCGGTGTGGCTGGCGAGTAGGCGAATGCATGCCCCGGGTGCCGGCCCGTGGGGCGGCTCGTTTCCCCAAGAACATGGTGGAGTCTCGTTGCAGCGGCTGCTCTACATTTGGTCATATTTGGTCATTTGGTCGCTCAAATTGCTGCTCGAGCTGAGAGTCAACACTACTGTGCCTTCTCAACGGAGACTGTTACTACCCCTGCAAGTCTAGTAAAACCTGGTCAAACTTGCCTTCTTAAAACGTGCTTTTTGTATGACCAACCAACTCCAGTAAAATGAGGTGATTGGCCTGCAGGACAGCATGCAGTCGATCGGACAAATCTTCGGCCTAAAACTGGCAGGAGGTTGTTTTGCACGCGCCGAAGTGTTCAAGTCCTAGCTCTATAGTGATACCTTCTCAGAAGGGAGACATGGCTATGTAGGTGCCAGGAGGGTCCAGTCGCACCGAAGCTGAGGTTCGGTACGACAACGGATCCCTAGGGTAAGACCATGAACTGTCAGCGTTCCGTGGTTTGTTGGACCGGTGAAAAGCTATAGGAGGGCGTATGCCCGTGGGTTCATTCGTGGTATTTCTTTGAAGCAGGGATCTTACGTACAGTAACATGTGTATAGGCATGTATAGGCTATAGGCAACCAGAACTGTAGACAATGTAGGGGCCACGTCCATAGGGGCATTTCTTGCCGTGAGCCTCCCGTTTGTTGTTATATGTTTTGTTTGAACATCAGTGATGGGCAGCTCTGAACGTTTGGCCCTTCTTATTTGAACGGGGCTTATGTGCCGTGTCGTGCGTCGCGTGCCGCCAAAGAAATCTTCTCACGACTTCCGAACTTGACTTGGAGTGTCAAGTTCGGAAGTGTGAGATCGGCTACACTCTACACTTGAGTTTTGCGTGGATCAATGTGTTTTTGTTAGGTGAACAGCGGATGACACAGACCCTGTTTGCTGATCTGCCATCGTGTACCAATGTCCATTTTCTTGTGCATTGGAACGCTTTAAACTTTTAACACTACTTTTAACAGTCAACCATTCAACTGAGAGGTGTGGCAATGGCTAGCCCTGCAGCCAGCGCTTCGCAGGACAGCGCTCGCTGCGTGGACATGGCCCCATTCCTGCCAGACCACCGTCACCCACTGGGTGTCCTTTAAAAAGCACTCGCCTTTTGGTGTGTTGGAATGCTGTGGCAGAACATGCAGGACCTCTTGGCAAAACCCTGCATATATGTAGGCAACACCATATATTGGTCAACATTGTTAGCTCCTTTCTTAAAGCGCGACTGCGAGCGCAGCAACGCGATGGTTTGCGACGACAGGACAAGCCCACCCTGGGGGAAGTAGTCGACCAGATCGGGCTGGGTCCAGCACAGCGGCTTGGATTGAGCATAGGTGCTGGGAAGCTGGATTGAGCTCGTATACGGTTGATTTTGAAGCAGAAAGGTGCGGGGTTTGCAGAAAAGAAAGCATGCAAATGAGGTCAAAAGGCTCCTTTAGACTTGAATGACGGTGCCTACATTAAGGGACCCACTTTTTTAAAGCAGCCCCTTGGCAGGCATTTTTAAAAAATAAATCCTTATAAGGTCATTTGTTTGGATCTGTAGGAGAGTCTGACTGTAGTGTAATTTGGCTTGCTTTGCCAGGCAACCGACGGCGTAGAAATATTTATGAATCTGTATGAATATCAAACATCACATGACATTAATTCTTTGACACCAACAGTGTAGCATGCCATTGGCATTATGTTTCAAAGGTTTTTAGAGTTGCCAGCATTGCAGACGGTCTTAGGTGGAGGCCATCGCTCTTAATTAGGTTGGAGGCCATCGCTACTGGTATTGTCCTCATTTGTGCGCCATAGTAGGGTGAAGCCTCACCCTTGATCCACTCTTTCCAGGATGCGCTC